GGTAACCAGGGAAAAACCGCACATATGCTGAAGACTGATCAGGATAATACTTTTAAGGCTTTCCGATGTTTTCATAGTAACGGTTTAAAAATGTTCATCCCATTCTATCTATATTCTAATGCTCAGGTCTCGTACGGGTTTTGCATAGTCTTGGAAAGTCTTGGAAATTGATAATGGATTTTTCCACAGAAAGCCCAATTTAGATTTAAAGGCACGGGCAAAAAAAAATTTTTCCACAGGATTTTTTTATTGATTTTTTTTTACTCTTTCGTATTACTGAGGACATTATCTTGAAGTCGAGTTTAAAAACAATGAATTATTTAATTTTCTCGAACATTCACTTTTATCTAAATTGGGCTTCTGTGAATTTTCCAGGACCTGGAAAGTTTTAGAAAATTGATTTTTGGTCCACTAGTGTATGGAAGAGTTATGGATTTTTGTAGTTTCTCTAGCTTATTTCTTGCAAAAAATTGTTTTTGTTGTAAAGCGCTGAATATTTATTTGTGAGTACTGTACGCGTGGTGTCAGACTTGCCCAAAGTCAACCTCTCTTTTACACAAAGGCGGCGGGCGAAAGTGTAGTGTGGTGTACCCATTTTCAGTCTGTGCAGTTCCTATAGTTACCTGTTATCTGACAGTCTTGTCCCAGTGTGCCTGCAGGACATTCACATTTGTAGGTGTGGTTTGTATAGAATGGAACACACTTTCCTCGATGCTGGCATGGCTTCTTCTCACATGGATTCTAAAAGTCGTGAAATATTTGTTACTTATATTATGATAAGTTAAATATATGTCACAAAATATTTAGTTGAATTTTCTCGCTTTACACGGTCCAGCAAACCTCGAATTCAAACACAAAATAACTGAGCGCAAAACAAATAGACGAAGACTCACCGCAATGCTGTAATGGTCAATCCCTTTGCTTGGTCTAAAATTTGACTGGTTTTCATATTTGTCAGAAGCCAAGAGCTCACACACATACAAGCCTTGGTCATCACCAGTTGTGTTCACATTGACAGATAAACATCCRTGAGTTTGGACGCATCGAACTAGGCATTCATCAGAAGACTCGACTCTTTCGTCCTTCAGTGTCGCTGCAACAAGCTTGTGGTCTTTGTGATGAAAGAAGTTTCCAAACGAGATAACACCTGAATTACTTGCACGAAAAGCTTCTTCAAAGGCGACTGCGTGCAGCAAGTGTAGAATGAAAGAGAGATGTAAAGTATTCATAGTAAACTTGAACACCGAAAAATACATTATCAAAGAGACTGAAAGTCCGTTGTTGTTTTTCGTTTTGAAGCCGAACAAAACCGATGGAACCGAGAAGAACTGATGAATAATCAATGAGTGGTGTTTAAACATTTGGGCTGTAGTCGTGACTACAGTTATTAGTAAAAGATTTAATTTAGTTTTGATGTATAGATGCGTAATGCTTGTGAATTTGTATGGGACAAATATTGGAACATCTTTATGAAGTCGATTGTTTTCCGTTGTCAATTAGATAGTAATAACGTACTGTGCTCAGCTCCCGCCTTCCTCATGCCTTTAGAAATGTAATGCGAGGTGTGCCAGCGGGATGACCCCCTAAGGATAATATTGTTTGTAAAAATATATGGTTTCGTTATTGATTTTTCAAAGAAAGTAGAAATGATTTGATGACAGCTGTGTGACTAAAATCTGTGATCTTGTGTCCATTCGAACAATTTAATTTTTAAATAAAATAAGTGTTTGTGGGTCTTAGTAAGACCTATAAGTATAGGTAATAGGACTACATGTCTGTCCAATTTGAAAATAATTGGGCGAAAAAAATTCCGAGGACTGACAAATTTGGAATAGGCTTATAGGCCTAGAAAAAAATTTTTAATTTTTTTTAAGGCACCGTGAGAAACTAAAAGAACTTGGATTAGAAATACTTCATTCTGTATTTACCAAACCAAGCTGAATCTGTCACAAAAAGGTATTTTGATTGATTGATTGATTTATAACCTGGTTATTTTGAAATACTTTAGTCTGTAAAAACACTGAGAAGTTTCTTTGAGGATACTCCGCCCAAGATCTAAAACAAAAATATACTTTAATACAGTTTATTATACATTTTGTAAGTGGAATTTGTAGGCTACTAGAATTTTGCCTTTGATACAGAAGCAAATTCTACATGTACAAATGTGTGATAAAAAAGTGATAGTGACAGATGATGATGATGATTGTCACGTGATATATTTTGCACATGATCGTTATGTGGGTGTCAAATAATATCCTGTGATGTCATATCATGTGATCATCTTGTGTACATCGCCATCATATCATGTTATCATAGCAAGTACATAGCATCCATATCACGTATTTATCATGAAATCACGTGATCATCGTATGTATATAGTCATATCACGTGATCATCGTATGTACGTAGTCGTATCACGTGATCATCGTATTATATAGTCATCATATCAAGTGATCATCGTATGTATATAGTCATATCACGTGATCGTCGTATATATATAGTCATCATATCACGTGATCATCGTATGTATAAAGTCTTCATATCACATGATCATCATATGTATATAGTCATCATATCACGTGATCATCATATGTATATAGTTATCATATCACGTGATTATCATATGTATATAGTCATCTTTTCACGTGATCATCGTATGTATATGGTCATCRTATCACGTGATCATCGTATGTATATAGTCACCATATCACGTGATCATCGTACGTACGTAGTCATATCACGTGATCATCGTATGTATATAGCCATCGAGTCTGCCACGGACGTTGCATCTGTTGAAATAAAAAGTGCTTTAGTTGTTGATAGACGAAAGTGGCTCTTCTTTTATTGTTAAGTACTCTCACCTTTGTTTGACCACTGTACGCGGCTGTTGGTTGGAGAGTATAATACCGAGAAGTGCTGAAGATGGTTTTCCCAGGTGCATCCTC